TATATATACACACACACACACACACACACACACACACACACACACACACACACACACACACGAAGTATTAAGACACTTAATATGAAATAATCATCGCAAATGATCGTGTTATATCCCGAATATACAGGGCAAGTGTCGGTTCAAGCAGAGCCACCATAACAAGGCTCATGGTTGACCCGATAGGGCCACCGCCCAAAAAGGCTTAATGTCGGACTCTGCATTATACCTACTATGCGGCCATCCACTACTGATAGATTTTAATTTAGAATTAAGGACAGATGAAACGGCAAAAGTTGAGCCTGTGTGCATGTGTGGTTCTATCCTTTAATGAGGGTGTTTCTCGGGGGTTTCTTTTATGTTTGTTCCTATTTATTCAAGATGAGGGACGGCCTGGTAATCACTCAGTAATGAAAGCGCACACAGGGCCGATTTGTCACCAATGGCTAGCTGTGGCAGTAGTCGGCTCCTCTGTGCGTATGATTTGTTAAACCGGGGACGGAATTTAGTAGTGCCATTTAAAGACATATTGGAGAACTGTTCCATATGTATGTGTGTGTATGTAAAGTGTCACATTTGTAGCACTTGGGAGAAGAGGGGGGTTTTCGCTGGAGAGCCTGTGAAACATGAGCATTTCTTCTCATTAAAGGAAAAGTAATGTTTAGACCAAAGCCTGCTTGCGCCTGCTGTAATATATTTGCAAACTTCGTTGAAGCAAATAAACACTCACTCAGCTGCTTTGGTAGAACAAAGTTGGCCTGCAAATGAACTAAAGTGGACCCATTGACAGAAAAATAAACAGTGGGAAAACTTAATATCGTTAAATATATCTTCATCGTTGTGAGTCTACAGATCCACAGACACTTGATGGTCCCAAACTACAAATTCAAAAATAAATAATTTTTCTCTCACTGCATGCTAAATATGTCAAGGTATCAAAACACTCTTACACAACCTGATGATTTACAGACTCAAGGTTACCTTCAATAGCGAGTACTCGGCTGAATTACAGTTAATTTCCACTTTGTATGACAAGGAAGGTCTATTTGAAGTAACAGATGCTGGAGTTGCGGGCAGTTTTTAAAACTGTGAGCAAGATTTGAATGGAGTCTGCCTTCACGAATCCCTCCCCCTCTAAAGTCTCTGGCCAAAGCTGTTGACTGATGTGCACAAGCATGGTTCTCAAACACTGCCATTCATAATTGGATGCAATTATGAAAGTACATAGTTGTGATAAATAATCACAGAGAACGCTGTCCACCTTCAACAAAATTGCTGTGCTAACAATAGCAGGGTAGCATTAGCACCACAAACAGCCCATCATTTGCCAAGATGCTACATTGATAGCTTCATTTATTCAAAATTTGTGTGGAAATATGAACACAAAATGTTATCATTTCAAAGTTTTAATTTTCGGGATGTACAATCAATTAAAAATGAAAGAGAGGTGATATACATACCTGTCAAGCAGAAATGTTGCTAATATCCCATCACTTCTGAATCCTGTCAGTCGCCTAAGGTCTTTTTGCCCAGCTAAGGTTTACCAATCTTACGACCACATGGAAAAAAAATTTGGGATGGGCATCTTTTTCCCACAAGACCGTACTCCAACAGTCAACATGTCAGCCTGAGGCTGTGCCAGTGACCGGGCTATGAGTGTACCCAAAGTGCAAGTCAAATGACTGCAACCTCATAAGGTGAAACCTTCTGTTTCTGACTGGTTGTTCCTAAGCGGGCGCAGTGATGAATTTGCATATACAGTATGTGTGTAGAATATATATATATATATATCTGTGTGTGTGTGTGGCAACAATTCCAAGCAGAGTTCAGACTTGGAAACTTTTTCGACATTTCACAGTATTCAACCCGTCCACACACTTCGGAAAAACTCAGCAGATGATGATCTAATCACTTTTGCATTCAAATAGTTGCAACACCATTGCAACACAGTTGTCAGAAAAACATCCTACGGTTCAAGTTATTTAAAAGTGGCCAAATTGCTCTGAGTTTTGCTTACACAAATGGTCAAATTATACATTAACCACAGGTTGTGACGTTCAGTTTCTAAACTTATATCACTTGACAACATCATACTGCAAGCCCAGTAGATTCTAAAAGAATGAAATTACCAAATCTTAAAACTCACCCACAGATGTCACATCTGTACTCCCTCATGCCAAGGTGCCTTTTCACATGGTTTCTGGCATCTCCCAGCTGAGCCGTTGCAAAGTGGCAAATTTTACAAAGAAAGGGCTTTGAACCTGTGAAAAAATTGGAGAGTTCATGCACAGAACTATTAAAACATGTGAACGTTTTGACCAGTAGCGGATTTTTCTTTCTTTTTTTTGGATTAGTTGTTGTCATGTGTGCAGTACTTAGAGAAAGACCCTCCCACCCGCTCCAGGCCAACCTAAGAGCACTGGGCAGCTCTTTTAGCCAGAGACTAATACACCCGCGCTGCAAGAAGGAGAGGTACCGCCGTTCGTTCCTGCCGACTGCTGTCAGGCTACTGAATAGACGCACCTGAAAACCTGGACTCACTCCCACTCACCCATTTGCAAATACCACACCCACCTTATATGCTTATATCTTATATTGCATTCTGTACTGTGTACAGTTCATTTTTAAATGTATTTTATGCATGTAAATACTTCGTTTTTCTACTTTCTTCCCTCCATATTTTGCTGCTGTAAATTGCAATTTCCTCCATTGTGAGACAAATAAAGGTTTTCTTATCTTCTTTACATCATCCACAATCCCTTACACCTGTAAATGAATTTTGCACTCTCCTGCATCTATCTACACGTGGTGTACATGGCATGTAGATTCTACATGCCATGTACACCACGTACCTATCTCTGCACTGAATCTAAAGGGAATGAGGGGAGCTGCTTCAATTGGATGAAAAGTCGGTGCGTTACCTCCCACAACAAAGCATAATGTTTCAAACACTCCCTTCTACTTGTGCCAGTCTAGGAAAGTACCAAAAGACAACTCTACCCATGCCCACAGTTAGATTGTGATTTGTGCTACATTGGCACTGGACACGGAAGTAGGGCCCTTTAAGAGACGTAATGAAAGACCGAAAAACACTGTTCGTGACATTAGCAACAACGTGCTATTCAAGGGCATTTGTGTATTGACATAAAATTGGTAATTCAACATTTACTCAAAATATCATTCTTTATTGATGTCATATCACCCATCACTAACAACAAACCACATCCAAAAAAAAAAGCTGACTTTTACAACTGGTCTAATGCGTAATATTTTGTCAAAAGCGAAATCAGGCCAATGAAGATGCAGTTTCTGTTTTTTTTTTTAAATATCATATCAACTGTGTGAATGTGCATCTTTGGGATGTGGACCCATTACTTTGAGGCTCAGTCTAAAGTCAGACAAATGACCCAAATGAAAAAGTGACCAATTTACCTAAAGATGCAAATTCCAGTAGTACCCACGTTGGGAAAATGGAAATGTGCACACATTTTCTTTAAGGGACAAATTGACAAATCTTTGTGCAGCCTCCCACTACCTTCAGTGATAAATCAAGAGGATAAAAACTAGGTCGTAATTAAAAGGATCTGGACATGCTCCAGCCTCAAAAGTGGCAGACCCCTATTGAGCTGCTTCACAAAACCCCATAAACACATTCCAAGAACAAATGAATGCCATATAAAAAGTAAATAATTCAACATAATGAGGGAGCTTAAGCAATAATACCAAATGCCATATGTTGTGAAAACGAAGAGAAATTGGTGCTTTCCACCATTATCAAAGGCTGAAATGAGGAAGAATAATTGTCTTTTTTTTGTCACGTACACTCAATTTGACCTCTGCATTTGACCCATCACAGCGAACAAACACTGGAGCAGGTGGCTGCACAAGTGCTCTTGGAGCAGTTTGGGGTGTTGGTGTCATGCTCAAGGACATCGTGGCCGTGTGTATCGTCTTGAACCGGGGTCCCCAAATTGGCAGGTGACAATTTAACCGCTTGGCCACAGAAATGCAAATACTCTAACAAAACCGTAAACCCTCAGCTAAATATAATGCTGTCATTGCTTAGCACGATCGGTGTCGCAGACTTTATACTGTTAAGGCAGAGGGACATCCATTATGTGTAGACATTCCAACTGTCATTAAGAACAAAGTAACTCTGCTCAGAATTAATTTTAACTCCAACTCTCAACAAACCTCGGCGGCCATAGATGAGATTTGGCACAAAAAATATGAACAAATTGCTTTTTTTTTTTTCCCTGATGCAATTTGTTGGAATGCATGACAATATCTACATACACCATCCACAGACAGAGAAAATGGATTGTGGACTCGAAGGGTCATTAATGCTTGAGCAGAAGAGAGGGAATGAAACATTCAAGGCAGAAAAGGGCATTTATTGATGGTTCCCTCACACCTCAATCGTGCATTAAGATGATTTTAAAACCAATTAATACACATGGTCAGGGAAATGTAACAGAACACTGTCTGTTCTTAACCTGTCGAACATTTCCTTGTCAAAGCCCTTAGCAATGTTCTGCTTTGCATTATAAATGACAGGATAAATCTTAATGGATTGGGAATAATCAACTAGCCATGAAGGCTGACATACACACACATTCACTCGGCATTCTACCACTTACATACACACACAACTGTGGACGTCCGGACACAAGGGAAATTAAAGGCTTTGAATACGTCTGCATTGATTATTTTAAATTATTAGCCCACCTCTCTTTGGACCTCCAATGCTTTTAGCCTCAGCTTTAACACATTTACAGAGACTTATTGACTATAATTACAACTGAGTCTTGGTAATGGACACATCAATTATGAGTCGCACATGTCTCTGACCATGCAAGCGTTGCTCAGGGAATCCCAATCTGCGGTCCATTAGTGTTTCTCTCGCTGGTCTGAAGCCTAATCAGTCTTTGCCGTCACCTCTACTGCAACAGCTTTTACCTGGCTATTGCAGACATGAGCTTTGCCATAGGTCTGTTTGGCAAAACGAGGTTATATTGTATCTCTCCTTTAGCTTAGGTTTTAGTTTAGGATTCATTCAAATTATATCCAAATTCGATAAATATGTGGTACCACAAGTCAAGTGGATTTACAGTGTGTGAGGGCAGGAAAATAACATGCATCACTCAAACTTTGTCATTTACAAAATATCATAATGTAGTGACACATTCCTGATTAATTAGAACAAAAAAATCACATCTCATCTATTGTAATATGGTCCATCTGTTCAGTTAAAGATTGGGACGATTTCTGGCCCCAAGTTAAAGGGACTGTGTGTAGAAATGTTTGATTTTTCACTGCCATCTAGTGGTGAACTAATAGAATGCAATGGCCTAACTTTGAAACAAGCACATTTTTGAAGCAAGCCAGTGACTAAGAGAGACCCATCCATCCATTTTCTGAGCCGCTTTATCCTCACAAGGGCCACGGGAGGTGCTAGACTGTCTTCGGGCAGTAGGCGGGGGACACCCTGAACCAGTTGCCAGCCAATCGCAGGGCACACAGAGATGAACAACCATCCACACTCACATTCACACCTAGGGACAATTTAGAGTGTTCAATCAGTCTGCCATGCATGTTTTTGGAATGTGGGAGGAAACCGTAGTACCCGGAGAAAACCCTCGCAGGGACGGGGAGAACATGCAAACTCCACACAGGAAGGCCGGAGCCAGGATCGAACCCACAACCTATGCACTGTGAGGTCGACGCGCTAACCACTGGACCACCGGGCCGCCCCTCAGAGAGACGCACACAGCAAAATCTCATCACAAACGACTCCTAGTATGCCCTCAAATGACAAAGTAAGTGCATTGCAGTGGTTACACATGCTGTAGTCATTGATCCAGCAAATTTGTCATCGGCTGATTTGACTCCGTAGCAGAAAGATGTCGTCTCTTTCTGCTACGGTCATCCTCTTGTAAAAGTGAGGCGCGACTGATCTGATATAATTAGTGTTGATACAATTATACTTTTTTTTTTTTTAATGTAAGTTGATGTGATAGAACATACTTGTTTGAAAATAAAGAGGGTTTTTAAAATGAATTAATATTGAGAAAAAAAATGCTACACACTGTCTGAGATTTTGTTTTAACCTTTTCTCCCAATATATACCACATCAACGACAAAGACACAGGGTTTCACTGCCCCAGCATTTTTATGACCCAATCTACACTATCTTGCCATGGCACTTTCAGCTCATTTTATGGCCCATTCTAGTCTGCTGTGCCCTGGCACTAACAATTCATCCCATCTGTATAATTGCCCAGATTTTACTTGTATTAAACAACTTGTCAGTTACAGAGTAAGAGCAGCTTTTGATCATGCATTTTAATGAGGAATAAGAGCTCTGACCTGCTTTTAAAAGCACAAAGACACGGGACCATACACTGGATATCATTGGCATCGGCCCAATTCCTCCGGTGTCAGAATTTGTTTCATTTAATATTTTTTTCACAATTCTGTACTATTGGTCAGTGCACACGTGCGTGTAACGTTTACATGTTATCGGACAATCTAAAGTGTTGAAAATGCCTTGCTCTTTTTGATGATAAAATGTCAACTAACTATTTTTCAGGTCTCCTGAAAAGAGATGACTTTGGAGACACCTCTCATTAGCACGGCCAAAGGGGGCTTTCGCCCGACCCCAACAATGGAGAAAATGAAAACAGATGAAAAAAGAAATAAAATTTTACTCTGCTCATTAGCATTTCATAATACAATGAAACACACACACACACACACACACACACACACACACACACACACCACTGCAATTACGGCCTGCCACGTTTGCCCATCCCCTCCCCATGTTGTGTCAAGGCCATCCTGAATGACCATGTTGGCCTGAAACGTGAACGCCTAGCCGCCAGGAACATATACAGTAAGTGTAGCAATAAGGTGGTCACACTTATGCACTGTGAGATTTTTTTTTGTACGTCTCATTCATATAATTATAATCTAACAAGGGTTTGTTTGCTTTTTATGTCCACTGTACATGTGAGATAGCGAGGGAGGGAGGGTATAAAAACAGCGTACATACCGGTATGTGTGCGAATGTGTGCCAGGAAAGCCATGGAATTGCTGCTCTTGCACACCTTGCCGCAGTACTTGCACTTGTTGCCTTGGTGCTCCTCCCGCTCACGATTGATCTGTTCTGTGTCCTCAATCACATACTTGTTTACTTGTCTCAGCAGCTCATCATGTTTCTCCTTGATGTGATTGAACAGCTCCTGCTCCGTTTCAAAGCGATCTGTGCATTTTGCGCACTTGAAGCACGCACCGCCGTCAAGACGCTCATCGACGCTGTTCTGCTCATTTCGGATGTGGGAAGCGCTGGCCAAGTGTTGATGCAGGTTGCTCTCAGTGTAGAATGACTTGCCGCACACCATACAATGGAAATGTTTATCCTTGGTTGGGTGCTTCATTGAGATGTGCACATTCAAGCCGCTTAGGCCATCTGCCAAAAAGCCACAGTCGTCACAGCGAATTCGGGCGTTTCTCACTTTAGCTTCAACACTCACTTCCTTGTGTTCAAGCTTCTTGACATACTGGGGCAAGAGCCCAGAGGGCATTGGTGCTTCTCCTGTCAAGCCTTTAACAGCAGCCACACCTTCGAGAGCAACGCCCTCCAGCGATGGCTGCCCCTGTTCAGCTAGGGCCTTTACGGACATAATGCAGGTATCAAAAGGTCGGGCAGTGGACATTCTTGGAACTGAACTGCAGCTCTTTCCTGCGCTGGTACCTTCTATGCATGTGTCCTCTTGTTCTTGAATTTCTTGCTGTGGAGATTGTTCCACTTCAAGTGCCATTTCCGCTTGGGGCACATGCTCAGATTGTGCTGTGCAATCATCACCAGAGGAAGATGCGGTGCTCTCTGGCTGCTTTTCCTTTGCTTTGCCAGCAAACGTGGCCACAGTGTCAACAGGCTCAATGGGGACAGAAGATGCCACTGTGGGCTGTTTTTTTTCTTTTTGGCTTTCTTCGGAATTTAGATTTGGATCATCGGGTAGCTTTAAAGGTTCTGACTCAGGATGAACCATTGCACCGCTAAGATCAATAAGCTCAGTAAGGGGTACCGTTGAGGTCTGCAAAGCTTTTTGGCCACCATTCTCCTGTAGTGCCTGGAATGTTTTGCTTTTCTGCTTGTGTCTCTCTGTGCTGGCATGACGATACATTTCCTCACTTGTTACGGCATAGTATCTGCATGCCAAACAGACGTATTCAAAGTCTCTGCTGTGCTTTCGTTTCACATGAAGATTGAGGGAGGGGACTGAGTGAGCTATAAATTTGCAGTGACTGCAAGCAAAAGAGTCATGGTGACCTTCTATTGGGGGCGTGTATGACAGTGTTTGCTCTTCTTCAGTGTGTTTTTTCGAGCCTTGTGATTCGTGTTGCATGTCCCTGGCCTCTGAAGCTTCATTTGCTTCCTGAGATTGTGTATCTGTGGGTTCCTGGAGTAAAGGCCCAGCATTATTTTTCACAGGGCTGCGATTTTCACACTGCTGCACACGTTTCCTGTGTTTTTTGGTGATACAATGGCGATCGATGTCTCCTTTGGTGACACAGCTATAACTGCACAGAGTACACTTGTAAACATACTCTTTGCTGTGTTTACGGCGGACATGGACACTGAGGTTGGTAGCATTAGATACTACCAAGCCACAGTACCCACATTTGGTTGAAGCCTGTTGTTTTGGTCTTCCTCTTTTCGGTTTGGGAGGTTCCAGTTCCAAGTCTTCCTCATCTACAACTTTAGCAGCCTCCATTTCTTCTTGGATTCCCAGAGCCTCACCACCTATGTCGTCTCCACCCCCATCTCCTTTAGCTACCCTCTCAACACAATCATTAGAGGAATGAGAAGCACTATGTTGTGTGCTCTGATGTTGCTTATGAATATCTGAGTTTAGGTGTTTTTCCATCCATTGAGATGTAGCAGAAAAGAAGTTACATAATTTACAGCGGTACCAATCCAGGCCGGGGTGTTTGATGCGAGAATGGCTTTCCAAGAAGCAAAGTGTGGAAACCCTTAAATCACAATTTGCACACTTTATCTTGAATCTGTTCCCTGTGCATTTTGGCTCCACTTGAGAAGTGGTAATCTTGAAAGCACTTTCAGTGTCCTCAACATTATCTTCTTCCTCCATGTACTCTTCTGCATCAGCTGAAAGACAAGGACAAAGCTACTTCAGGCAATTGAATTGGAGATGCACCCTTGTATCGTTCCTAATCTTGGTGGTAACCATTTCATATCCACCAGAAATGACAAAATTCAAAACAAAAACTTGCACAGTGAAACCTCAGGTTACATTCTCAAACCAAAACCTTCGCTATCCAAGGTAATGGTTGTGGGTAAAAATTGTTTGCAATACAGAAATGGGTGGAAACAGTATTAATGACGATGAAATAACAATGTTTGCTAACAAACCACTGTAGTGCCTTAGGTTTTTGGTACAGCAATATTTACTTTCACTGTGGTAACTGCTGGACCAACATGGCCACCACCTCACTGTGGCATGTGGTGGCAAATTTAGGCAAAAAAAACCAAAGATAAGTGAACCACTGAGCCAATGTTGTTTATGCGATACGAGAAGGAAAAGTTGGGAGCTTTCCTTGGCCATGTAAAGACTGTTATTTCGACAACAAATATCATGATGCGCAGTTCAATCCAATCACTTGAGGATCACTCACGAGGTTCCCCAGGGGTCTGTGCTCGGCCCTGAAATATTCATATGGTATATAAATGATATATTCTGTGTCTCAGAACTACTTAAAAGTATTCTATTTGCCAATGACAACCCTCTACTACTATGGAGATAATTTGAGAAAAAACTCTGACTTAAGTGGGAAATCAACTGAACACATTGTCACTAAACATAAAACAAATGTTCTAATTCTTGACACGAGACAAACCAAACACCAACTCAAGATTATGGTACATTCAATTGAAATAGAAGGGATGAAAATTAATTTCTTGTAGTACAGTCAAACCTCGGTTTTCGAACGTCTCGGTTCTCGTTCAATTCAGTTTTCCAACAATTCTAACAGTTTTTTATGCCTCGGATGACGAACAAATTTCGGTTCTCGAACTAACTGAGCGCAATTGAATGCTTCACTTCACTCCTCTCGGCTTCGCTTCCTGTGTAGCGCCCATTGTGAGTAGACGTTTTTGTATTGTTCAATAAAGATTTTTTTTAAAAAAGCAGACATGTTTGGTGAGACGCTTCTGTTAGGGGGAGTGAAACCCTCCTCTTTTCAGAACGGTTTGCCCCAGCAACACGGGGGACGTGCGTGCGTTTGTTTACGGCCGGCAGTTTTCAATACAGCGGCACAAAATCAACACTCTAGTGTCCTGTAGCGCCCATTGTGAGCAGACGAGGTTGTATTGTTCAATAAAGATTTTAAAAAAAAGCAGACGTGTTTGGTGAGACGCTTCTGTTAGGGGGAGTGAAACCCCCCTCTTTTCAGAATTGTTTGCCCCAGCAGCACGGGTGAGTTTGTTTACGGCCGGCAGTTTTCAATGCAGCGGCACATAATCAACACTCTGGTGTCCGGTGTCTCATTATTATGCAATAATCATACAGAAACAGCTTCCTCGTGTAGCGTCCATTGTGAGCAGACGACTTTGTAATGTTCAATAAAGATTTTTTTTTTTTTTTTTAAAGCGGACGTGTTTGGTGAGAACTATGTAATATGACTGTTATTTTTGCATCGTGCATCAGCCCCTAATCATGGCACCAAAGAAAGCAAGTGGAAGTGGCAAACCTGGTGAAGAAAAGAGAAAAATAGTGCGCAAAACTATAGAATTGAAGAAAGATTTGATCGCGAAATATGAGTCAGGCGTGCGTGTGTCTGTGTTGGCGAAGGAGTTCGGGATGCCGAAATGCCCCGCCTACTGCATGATGACAGCTGGGATAGGCGCACGCCCCACGACAGATAGAGAGAGAGAGAGATATGTTCCTTCAATTTTTATGTTACTATGTTAATGTTAAAATTGGTGAAAATAAAACATATTACAGTTAGTTTGTACAGTATTTTACATATCACCTGCTCTCCTATTACTGTACATTTGTACAGTTTATGGTGTGAAATTGTAAAAAAAAGTGGTTTAAAAAAGTTGTTTTCTTGACTTGGAACGGATTAAAAATTTTACATTGATTCCAATGGGAAACATGGTTTCGGTTTTCGACCAATTCGGTTTTCGAACAGTCTTCTGGAACGGATTAAGTACGAAAACCGAGGTTTGACTGTACTAATTAAATCAGAATAATGTTGAAAGTCACACAGAGATAACGTCAAAAGAAAAATATCAAAAATAGAGATCCTCGACAAAACAAAGGATTTCCTGAATACCAAACCATAATGCACATTATATTGTTCATTTATGACCATAACTCACCTATTGTGTGGAAATATGGGGAAACATAAAATAAATACAGTCAAACCTCGGTTTTTGTCCATAATCCGTTCCAGAAGGCTGTTCGAAAACCGAAATTGTTCGAAACCGAAACCACGCTCTTTTTAAAATAAAAATGTTTACTGAACACGTGTGCTCACAATGGAAAGCAACAAGAGGAAGCGTCACTTCCTCGTGTCAGGAAGGCGAGAGAAGTCAAATGGTGCATTCAAGTGCGCTCAGTTTGTTCGAGAACCGAAATTTGTTCGTCATCCGAGGCATAAAAAACTCGAAAATTTTGGTCGAAAACCGAATTGGTTAAGAACCGAGGCGTTTGAAAACCGAGGTTTGACTGTATCTTGTTTTCAAACCACAAAAAAGAGCAATAGGAATGATTAATTGATATTCATCAAATTAAAAACTGTGAAATTCTATGATCTAGTTGAGTTCAAAACAGCACAAATAATGTATAAAGTGCCGGTACACAATAACCTACTCTGACGTGGTACTCAGTTGCTGTTTGAAATTAGAGAACGTTGCTCTGACCTAAATGGTACAAGTGTCTATTAAAAAATAAAAAAGAACAATCATTAAGCAAGTGTGTGTCTCCATGAGAGGTGTTAATTTCAAGGTATGTATGAAGATGTAATGAATTGTATTATCACAATATGAACCTCACGATATGATAATGATCATGATATTGTGCGGAAGTTGGCGATATTAAAAAAAAAACTCACTGTATAAAAACAAAAAAAAAAGTGTATTTTTGTACATAAACAGCAGTGACAAAGAATTAGGATGGGCCAGTCATTATTTATTGTCAAGTGCTCTGATTGGCTCCTATCAGGTATAAATAGGTGAAACTAATGAAATGTTGGAAATGTTGGGACGCATTAGATTTAATGTAATGAAAATTGTATGTGTATGAGGTTATATGAACGTGCTTATGTCCTACATGCACGCATGCTGTCGGCATATGTACGCATTGTGTAAATGCAGTTGTATATGTCTATGTGTATGTTATTTTTACTTTTCTTGGAATATATTAAATGAATAACCTATGATTGCATTATTATTAAATAAGTCAAAATATACAAAGAGGACTAGATAAGTTGTTTACTTCTCCCGACTCCCTTTTGAACATGTAAACAGTGCTAAAAGACTATTCGTGTGCTTTCTGTATTTTTTTATACTTCTTTCTGCGTTCAATAAACAAACAAAATTAAAATAGTGTGTAACTTAAAGTAATTAAAAAAAAAAGTTCCTAAACCGAATTGTTTGTAAAACGGGTCACATGACCATGTGCATAGAGGAAAAACTCACCTGTGCGTGGGCTGTCTTTGCTGTGGTATCGCTGGACATGAACATCAAGGGGAGCTTTGTCCCGAAACTCAAGTCCACAGTAGTTGCATGAATAGATAATCTTGGGTTTGGGGGTTCGTTTGCTCATTCTTCTCTCTTGAATGGATATGGCCTGTTTCGACTGCTTTTCTGACATTGCAACTTGACTGCAACTATCATCGGGAGAAACAGATCTTGGATCATCTGGTCCTGGCCCTGGATTTGACACAGCAGAACTTTCTGTCTCCATGGCCATCTCTTTCTGAACTCCGCCTCGACTATCATCAGAAATGGTTTGGTTGTCCTCTGCAAGTTTTGCAGCGTTATCTGTGCTCTTTTTATGTTTCCTTGCATAGTGAATCTTCAGTGATCTTGGACATTTTGCTAAGAAGTCACAAACAGAGCAACGAGTACTCACATCTTCGGGCACAGTGTCTGCCTGCAGCCCTCGAGTCAGTTCCCCATCCTTTTTTTCAGGCTTCATAGTGCGACTAGGTGAGTTGGCTTTAACGTCCTCCATTTGGACATTATCTTCGCAACTCCTTTTTGGCATTTTGTCTGAAGGAGCCTCCAGTTCAAGATTCGTTTTTGATCAACGTCTTAACTTGTTCCATTTATATGAAAGTGTGAAAACTTGAGTTGATGATGGATGAATCACCTACACAAAATGGGACATCACATAATTTCAACTTGGAAGCTTTTATTACCCTAATACAGAAATCAGAGGCACACAAATTGAATCTCGGTAAACCACTGCAATAAGAGTGATACAGTCAAACTTTCCAGTCACAAAAACAACAAACTCGCGCACAAGTCGCCATCTAGTGTTTCCAGAAGCACATTGTTTAAACAATATTGCGTGCGGGTTCCTTTATCGAGTAAACTTTTTTTTCTTTTCGTACTTCAAACACACACCAATTACTTTGTTCAAAGAATGTAGCTGGGGAGAGCCAGTCGGATGCTAGAAATTGGCTCATGCAGCTAAAAGATTCACAAATAATTGTAGTAATCCTAAACCGCACCTTGCATGGATTAAATGGTGCTGTTTGCCCATGCTTTCTGCAGCATACTTGTTCATGCAACGTAAGGCAAATGAAGTGCATTTGGGCAGGAGACTGCAACAATTTACACCCAGAACTGCGAAACGTTAATGTTTGTTGCCGTTTCGTCAAACGTGCGAAAGGTGTCCTTTGACTCGGTGCAGTCAAAGTAGAACAGGATGGAAAAGAATACACACACATTTAATTCAATAAAGCAACTGAAGTACAGCAATACAATGATTGCTAGTGATCCGTTGGAAATTTGTTGGTTTCCGTTTTAATGTGAGGTCATATTAGTTGTGCTAAAGCCTGTTGTCAGGAGTATTAGCTAAAAAGTAACACTGAGTTGACCGAACTACGTCCGCTATTTAAAGAACTGTGAGACAAGATACAACATCACAACCAACAACGTTTGAAAACGCTTTGTGGTGTAATGCTCTTTTTAATACACTGATGTATCAATCTAATGTAGAAGTCGGGAAAACGTTGCGAGCTAGGAGATGCTACTCAACACTTCTGGGAAGACCAACCAATTGAATTTCGCCATTAGCCGTATAGGCCAATCACAGCAAAGTGAAGGGTGGGTCTTAATTCTTATGAAACACAGAAAACGACGGCGGCACAGAGGCCCAAAAAGTAGGCTAACGTCGGTTACCTGAAACCGTCCAAAAACAGGACGTATAAAGCGGTTAGCACAGAACCGCGGTTGCCGCACATACCTCGTGGTGTAGGACAGGACTAATACTACGACGAAACACGTTCAATAAGTCAAACTCACCCTTGACTCTCCCAAAATCGCCACCGTCCGCGCTTTTTGTGGCTAGACACAAATGGCGTACCGTAGCACGAGCGAAACGTCACATTAAGGCGGAACTTCTGCCCGCCTTTTTCCGGACCTCAGCTGTGAGGCCAATGCTGCTTTCAGGTTCATCGGAGAAACACGTGTCATAAAGTGTTCTAACCGTCAAATCCACTTCAAGTCACAGACTATTCACAAGTTGTATGGCAAATGGAGTCATTAAAATGTATTAAATCACTTACTGAGTTTTTCAGGCGGCTACATTTTAGTGCTAGCATAATTTTGAAGGCGGGAAAAGAAAAGAGTATGTAGTTTTTGAGGTTAAACAAGAAGAATCAACTTGGTTAATGTGGTTATATTTAGGAACGAAAAACAACTTTGGTTAGGTTATGTTTGCATTTCGAGGGGAAAAAAAGCCTAATTCATGGCACATTCTGTTTAGGTCACTTTTATTTGTTAGTCAATTAATGAAGGGTATTTTTCCTTTTGCTATCCTGTTCACATATCTGATTGTTAAACTGTCAATAAAAAATATCTATGTATGCAAATGCATTGAAATATAGCAGTTTTGCGATGTCCCAACAGTTTGTAAATGCTTGTGGGTGTTGTGTCTTTGTGTGAAGCACACTGAGTTGCCTCGTGTATGAAATGTGCTGTAAAAATAAAGATGTCTTGTGTTATCTTGACTACATATCGAATATTAATGTGAAAGTTGTGACCACATTCTGTAGCATGATAATGGGCATCTTGGGCATTTCTAACCCTAATTAAAAAAAAAAAAAAGACGGAAAAATGGCAGGGCATGGAACCTTTAAGATTTTTGATACTGTGAGGCAAATGCAGCTCCAAAGGAAAAAAGGTAGGGCATGGAACCTTTAAGATTTTTGATACTGTAAGGCAAATGCAGCTTCAAAATGCATCACACTGTATAAACACAGAGTAAGGTCCAAAAAGCAATCCACTCATGAGGACACTGTGATGTTTGGGTATAAAGGACACACAGAGAATATATATGTGGTTATAAACGTAATCCAGAGTTCCATTTGAGAAGTTTTTCTTAGAGATTATCAATAAATAATAAATCTGAAGTCTTGGGTGTGCCTCTGCTTTGATATAATTCTAATGTTCTCCAGGGACTACAAACGCAACGATCATTTCCTTACTCTACTCTGCTATTATGCCATCCATAATAAATAGCAACCTCTAAAATAAATAGATTGAACATGCAGGACTCCCTTGGAGTAGTTCCCTTAATCCCTCTCACTTGAGTGATGACTTTTTTTTTCCACTACAGATCAGGGTTAAACCATGGCTCGGTTTCATCCACTTCGAAACAAAGCAGCATGAGGGACCTGGAAAAAAAAAGACAAAGCAAGAAGGTAAGAAGACAAAGAATGAATATACTGTACTGTAATTGAAAGGAAATAATATGCAAGATTGGTGACTGCAGTTTAAAGTATTGCTGTTGATGTGAAGATGGCTGGGTCATCAGAGTTCATGCGCTCCCTCTTGAAGCTACATCAAGTCTCAGTAAATTTTTTTGTGAGTTGAATCCACAAAGCCTAATGGAGAAAGGATTTAAATTTTAGGTTTGTTCCTACATCAAAGGTAAGTTGCTAATGCTACTTAAACTGTGCTACTTAAACTTGACAGAAATGTTTCAAGCTTTCTCATTTTCACAATGACACATTAGCTGACGTTTTCACGTTTCATGATGACTGATGTGCTCGCATAATGTTTGTAATTCTCAGTAACAGATAAAAACACTCTGTCAGGGGAAGTGACCGGAGAGCTCGGTGTTGCCGATCATTGAAGAAGTCCGAGGCTCCACCACCTGGGAGCAGGTGAGTCCCTTCCTGGGTGAGTCCCATCCTTCAGCAACTGGTTCATTTGTGCTGCTAGGCGCTCATGGAGTGTTGTGAGTTTCTTTAGTCAGTAGGTGTGGACCATGTCGGGGCCTGTTGCTGTCCAGTTTTTCATATCTGAGACTCTTTCCTGTATGTCTGCCACTGTTATGGTAACTGGCTTCTGTTCAGGGAGGTTGCTTTCATATCTTCCATGAATACACATTCAATGTGCTTTTGCATAAATACACACCATAGAAATGAGTCGATGAATGCCCCGCAGCTCACTATCTTGCTTTTGAGCCCGATCAATTCCCTCTTATCTGCAAGATGAACATCTCAGATGACAAAACTCTTGTTGATTCAGTCTTCTGTAAAGTTCACTCTGAGAGCATCTTGTCTTATCATCAGCTTCCACCATCTCCTCAAGGACTCACCATGCATCAGGATGCCCCGCCAAACCTACCATTGGACGACTACCATATACCTCCAAGTGGCTGTAGTTTTGTGCCAACGTCCCAAGAGCGACTTCCTCCGCCCTCACTGCACATCACCTTATCCCAGTCTTGCCACATGAAGCCTCAACCAGAATCCAAAGCGCAGCACCTGAGTGGCATCTTCACAGAAAGGAAAGGGTGACTGCATCTCACTTTAGAGAAGTGTGTTATGTGCAAGGAAAAAAGTCTGCTGAGAATCTGGCAGAGAGGATCATCCGGGACACAAAGCAAACTACACTGATGAGTAGAGGGGTCAACATGCAGGAAGGATCATTAAAAGATGATGAAACCATGAGGAACCTCAACTTATCGTCATGTGGAGTCATGATTCATTCATCCATATGCACCATGGCTTGAAGCATCACTTGATGGGCTGGTGTATGATCCTCTGAAACGACTAAAATGTGGCCTGGGTGAAATTAAATGTCCCAATGCTCAGAGATTTGTTAACCGTGGCCAGCAGAAACTTAAGGAGGGTCACTCGTACTACTGGCAAGTTCAGGGGCAGCTGCTGCTAACTGGGATGAAGCGGTGCGATTTTGTTGTGTCTGCCAATAATGACATGCTTGTTCAGCAAATTTATAGAGATGATGAAGTTTTGTCAAAACTTTAATGAAAAATGTTTTTTTTTTCTTTTATACTTACCTCCAAAGTACCTATTTTTAAAGTACAGTAAATGGTTGAACTAAAGACCGTGTGTCTTCGTATTATTGTATGGTAAAATTTAAGTCTATAAATAAAATGAAACATGACTGTAAAAAAAGCAAAAAACATACTTTTCAGTGTAATTCAAAATGTAGAGGACTACAAAGTAGTATCCATTAGATTGTAGGATGAACTTTGTGCACAGTTTTCATTAGTTTGTAGAATTGACAAGACACAGGGGGAAAAAAAATATTTTCAAATAAATGTATTAATATTTAACAGATAAAGGCTTGAACAAGGGGTCCGTTCTGGTAGTTGGTCAAGAGACAGGTCACAGCAAAAAGTTGGGTTGATGCTGCCAGTTAAGGACAAGGGGGTCACTGTGCTGAAGAGTCTGTGTTCTTTCACCCTTCCTATCACATGCTCAACATGGACTCTTAGTCGTGCAAAATACTAGGTCTTCCTCACCCCTGCTCCAGATAGTTGTGACAACTTCTTCAGGAAAGCAGGTCTGTGGACCTTGCAAGGGACCAGGTCTCCCATAGAAATCCCTTGTCCACCGTAATGGCCATTGATAGTTTTAGAAGACACACTAGACCAGACTGTGTAAAGATCTCCCAGTCACTGATGGAGTCTTCATAGAGAGGGGAGATGAAAAATGTGGCTTTGTTTAATGTTGTGAAAAACAGCACACCACACGCATACAAACAATGTAGAAAACTATGCCCCAAAACGTTGACAAGTGGTAGAAATTATCTGCAAACCTGCTTCAAAACACAGTGGCTGCCGTTACCAGAGAGGAGGGTGCCTTACCACATCTTACCGGAAATACCGCAGATCGCTCCGTGCATATCGTCCGTATTGTACATGTGAGCGCTTGCGCTGGGAGGTGGAAGTTCCACTTTTGCGACCTTGACCATCCAATCTAAAATTAATAGCATTTGTGTATTTTATATTATTATGACTGGTAAAAAGTTTGAAAACCATTTTATGTCGATCAAAACATAACTAGCTTCAGTGTGTTATTTATTTAATCATTTATCTCATTAATTCTAAATAGCTTTCATCACAGTGTAAATTACATAAACCTTCGACCATGCACATTCAGCCACTCGCGTATGCAACCAGCACGCCATTTGAACACACTACTGTAATACTGTAGGTGCATTGTTGACAGACACACTAAACTTTTGCTGAACGAGCATATGGAAGAGACTGCAGTTATACCAAATGTAAGTTGAGCTCCTCTCGCGACACAATTACATATAAAGTCCATATACTTTGCGTAGATCAGGGCGAATCTGTACAGATACACTGGAGCCAAATGTCTTTGAAAATGTCCTTACTTTGTCACATAGATGGAACAAGCATGCCAGGTAAAAAGTGGACAAACAATGTTGGTCGGACAAAATAATCAATTTGGTCTGTGGGCCGTCATAGCCAGAAAATTTTCTGTGGAGTGGCCAAGGTGACATCCAGAACAATGATCGTCACACTAATAATCATGCACGAAGAATGTTGTGCTGATCTGAATTTACGAGATGTTTCCATTTTCTTTGCCGCTGATTTGCTTTTGTGTACTGTACTATCTTATAGTTCAATTCCATCTAATGCACTGATTCGCTAGCTAACAGCCTATCAGAGTGACCAACGGACACTGATGCTATTATGCATACTGGCATATACTGTATATGGTATGCAATTCTTTCATACCATATATAAAAAGCCTAATAAGCCATTAATTCCGTAATAATTCAAAATTCAAAGTATTGCTGTTTACTGATGTTTTGATTCCTGCTTGTATTCTGAGTGTGTGTGCAAGGTTGGTGTGTGTGTGTATATATATATATATATATATATATATATATATATATATATATATATATA